ATCATCCGACTGATGATCATTTACCAAATAAGGTAAGATCATCGATGACCAAATTTGGTATATTCCCAGACTGAATTGTGACAAATCTTTGTCTTATTTCTAACTATAAATCTTGCATCATATTATTAGAAAGGCATATACTAATTTATATTAACTTCTCTTATCTATTAGTTAGTATTATATTATTATTAATATATTCTGGTTTCTTTTATTATAAGCTTCTATATAGATATAACCAGAGCTCTAACTTAGTGACTTTAGATATATTAGATTAGCTAGCCTGCTTTTATAAAATTACTTTCTTCAGTTAGTCATTTTATGATACCAAAAGTATTTCTAATTCAGCTAAAATTAATCTTTTACCACAGCCCTTTCACATATCTATTGCTTTTCTTGCTTTTTTAATTTTAGTAGTCTTGTATCACCTCCTAAGCAAGTACTTAATGCCAATCCAAATTAAAACTAATATGCATGATTTATTGATTATTCTTCTAAGCAAATACTTTACAAATTAGATACAGAAATATTAATACTATCTAAAGTAGAAGCAAAAAAATGTTGATGTTGTCTCTAGATTATTCTAATTAGAAAATTTATTTGCATGATCTTTTATAGCTTAGATCTTCTATAATATTATCATATATAGCAGAAATATTTTATAATTAGAGCTCTTTTTAAGAATTCCTATTCCAGAACCATACTTGTACTTAAACTTTTTATAGAGCTTTATATTTAAAATAGCACTCTTCCTATTTGGATTATAGAAAATTAAAAATCACAGATTTTATATTTCTAGATAAATTCAAATCATCAATCTTGTTTATAGAGATTTGAAAGCTTAACCAATAAACTACAAGACTCAAACTTTTAGAACAAATTTTATTAGAGTATAAAAATAAAATTAATTAGTAAAATTTTAAAAATCATAGGATTTTCTAAAATTTTACTAATAAAATTATCAAAAATTTTAAGATTCTCAAAATTTTATTAATGAAATCTATCTTTATTCATTAATTTATTTAATTCTACATATAATTTTATATTAAAATAGTATATAATTATTTTATTTAATTGATGATCTGCCATAAATCGATAGTAGTTACACTAATTAAGTGTGATGGAAGATCATTATAAAAATAATTAAATAGACAATTTTCTGCTTTAAATAAAAATTGTACAACTTTAATGTATGATGTATAAAATTATTATAGTTCGATCATTCAATAGTAAGATTACTTAACTTCAAAATTTGATAATTCATTCTAATAACCAATTCAATATTTATTTTAAGCAGACAGCTCCATTCAGGGTACTGTAACTATGAATGTCTATTACAATTTCAAATACTAAACAGGCTAAAAAATCTTTTTTTACTTAATTTTTACAAATTTTACAGCACTGTATTGATTTTAAACTTTTTACAACTATTTCAACATGCTATAACTATCGCTTGACTCAAGTCTAAGTAAAACTAAATTATTTTATAATTATTGTTATCGAATATTGGCTAAGTTTTACTTATCTCTTATTAATCTTTGTAGCTGTTTTTTTTTTTGTATCGCTTGTTCTTTAAACTTAGCTGAATACGTATTTATCCAATTTTTAATTGTATTCACGTTTGGCATATCCTTTTTTTCAACCTCCCGAATGCTACAAATTCTTGAAGAGAGTCATACATCCTTTGTCCAGTTAATTTATCGTGAGGATTAATATTCCTATTCAAAAATATACTAATTAATAATTGTCTGATATTTTTTTTTATATGCTTACCACTACCCTTTTTACCATATTTTTGATTCTCTTTTAATGCCCAACTTTTTTCAAAGCTATATATTTGATTAATATTCATTAACTCATCTAAATAGATAAGATATATTGAAATTATTTCTTAATGAATTATTTGGTATAATAACTATATAATGATTTTTAAAATTCTTACTTGATTCAGAACTTTTTAATACCGGACAAGATGATATGCCAACTGTACCTATATTATATAATGTTATTAATTTTATAATATATTGTATTCTTAATAGATGTGTTATGTGATAATTTTTTCTAATAGCTTCTACCATTTACTACTATATATAATACCCAGGTCTTATTCAATAAACTCATATTTTAAAATTGATTAATATTCGATTACTATTTACAAATCTAGTGTCTTTATAGTAAAGATCACAGGTAGAATAGTAAACCTTCTTCACAAGTATTCTTTAAAAAATATTTGGTATGATATACAACTTTTCCAAATATTTTCTTTATTATCAAAATTCTTTCTATATCTCTTTCATATGTAATATAAATGGTTGGAAAATATTTAGAAGATATTCAAAAAGATTGCATATCACACCGAGGATTTTTGAAAGAATACTTGTTGAAAAGGTTTATTGTTCTATCTGTAGATATTTTGCGCAGTACATTTGACTATACAAAGTTAATTTTTTTTATTTTGTATAACCTGGAATCTGCAAATTGGATCAGTTAATCAGATTTTTTTTTGTCACTCTTATTAAATAATTTCGAAAAATTAAGGTTTCCATCAGGCAACATAATGAAACAAACTAAAAAATTGAAATAATGAGGTGATCAGGTTATATAAAACAAAGAAATCAACTTTATATAGCCTTATTGAAACAACTAGAGTAGCTAGTTGTATATTTAATTACAAATTATGATTGTATTAATTGTTCAGAAGTTAGTCTGGTAAAGTAAAAGTTTGTAATTCAATTCATAGTTTTTATTTTTGTAATTCATATTAAATGTATCTCTAATTTTTAATAATCAAATTAGTATTTATATTTATTTGATTGAGCCATCGTCTATTTATTCTTAGGCATAGTAGAGCTCGATAATACTGGTTCAGGCCTGAAAATTTTATTATTGCAAAGATTTGCTATTGTAGCTGGTGAAAAGTGAACAAGCTCACCAAAATTTGGTATTAGTTGTGCTTGTATATAACCTGCGAATAGGCTATTAATTGGCTATTCCTAATAAAAAAGACTAGAAATTCCTAGGATAGTATTAATGCTAACTTTTTTTTTCATTGTTAATTTTTTCAGAATTATTGTCTGATTGGTTTATTTCTTTTTTTAGTTCTATTAGGTTGAATATTTGCAAGATAAGTTCCTGATAATTCTTTTGCTACATCTATAATATCTGACCTTTCTAAAATATCATATCCTATTCTTATATAACATTTTATAGCATAGGAAATCTATTGTAGAGAAAAAAGTAGTAGGTTTATAATTACAGTATAAAATAGTTAGTGATAATATTTTAGACAAATACAGGGGTATTACAGATTATCAAATGATTTACTTGTGCAGCACAAATAAATCATTTAATACTTCATAGCAGGTTAAGTCAATATACTGAAGGTAATCTTTCGGGATTATAATCTTTCAGGATTTTTTTTCAATATTTAGTTTTTAGAACATTATATCTTTCAGGATTTTGATCTTTTGGAGTTTAGTATAACATAATTTAGCATCTTTGGAATGTTGACCCAAACCACTCATGATATTTTCTATAGATAAATATTATACTGATTAAGATTTATAATATACTAACAGCAGCATGATGTGAATCGATAGTGGTCTTGGCTTCGCCTGGTTCTAAAAATATTACCCTTGGACTTCTATTTGATACCACTTATACCAATGTGCAACAATTATCATAACCTCACTACTATGATAGTGAGCACCATTATCAGATATAATATGAATCTACTTAGGCTTTTTTTCCATTGAGGTAAAAACTGCTTCAAAATATGATACCATAAACCAGGCATCTTGTTTTGTATCAGTCAACCAATGATCATATATACTAACTTCTAAATTTTGTTTATTTTCATTTAAAGTAAAAACTAAAATAGTGTGAAGGGTCTACTCATGTTTTCCAAAAAATTGTTGTTTAGTTTCTCATGCTGATTTTGGTAATATCCGCATTTTATAATCAGCTATAATTATAGCATCATCTTTATTAATACTTTTTAATATTGGCTTAACCTGAGCATTTAAATATGCTTTTCTTGCTTGATGAGCCCAATAATATTTTAATTTCACTTGATACTGATCTAATTGCTTATGTTCAGTTTTAAGTCGATTTTGTAAGGAATCAAATAACTGAAAAAATAAATTACATTGTTTACAATATTTTTCATGTGTATAATCATATGATTCAAAAGCATAAGGTAAGCAATGATTAATACAACTATTATAAAATGTTGTTCCATTATCATTAATTACTAATTCTCGTTCAAATTCTCATTTTAAGTATCTTTTTAAATTGTTGACTTGTATTAAAAGTAGATTCTAAGATACAAATATATAATTGAGTTTTTTTTTACATGGTTTTTTTTAGAAATTTGAATACATACCAAATTTTCTTGTAACGTTATTTTACTTCTAATTATAGCAATTAAATCTTCAAATACTTTAAATCCGTATTGGCTATATATTTGGCAAAGTTCTCCAAGGTTTTCACGATATTTAATATGAGATGCAATTGCTAATCTTCCCATAAATGATATTTTTTTCATCCTATTAGAGTATAAAGATTCAAATTTAAACTACAATGCTTTCTTTTGGTCTTGAAGATAAAGAATCGAAAGCCCACTTGCTTTGTCTACTTGGTATGAACCCATGGTTACATTAGATTTATCTGCAAAAAATAATTCGAATTCTTTTTCTCTTACATCTGACATTTTTTTGACTATTTTTTTAGGTACATTAATGGGTGCATCTCCAGGTCCATACAACTGTGTATGTTTTCGAGCTATATGAATTGTATTAGGTCCAATCTAACAATTGATATAATAGAAATTTAATAAATCTTCAAAATTTTAAAATATTTGTATTTATTGTGAAGGATTAAAATAAAATCAGATTATAATGAAATTTTGTATAGTGTAAAATAAACAAGCCACAAAAAACTACAAAATTTTAGGATATATTTTTTGGGCTTTTTTTAGTATTAGGGGTAGAATCTATAATAAATAAGTAGGATTTAGAGAAACTTTGAATTTCATTTTAATCTGATTTCATTATGATCCATGATATTTATTACCTGTAATTTTTCTTGCAACTCTGAATAAGTAAATTTTTCAGCTATAATAGAAAGAATTCGAGTTCGATTATATAGACCACTCTTATTACAACTTAATGATTGTTTGAATGCCTCCCAAAAAATAATATCAGTATTATTTGCGATTATAATTGGTGGTATAAAATTAAGATTAAACATTTTATTTTTATATAATTTTTTAAATTTGCTCAATCTATTGTAGGATTTTTTGAGTATATCCAAAATTCTAAATACGAAATATCTTTTGTAAATGGTGTAATATTTGTATATCCATATGCATTAAGCATCGCTTTTCATGCACGAATATTTTTATTCTGTAATTGATATGTTGGTAAATATACTGATTGTAATGCTTTGTCTAATCGAATAATTGAATGTCCCTCTTTTAACCAATTAAAAAATAAACTATGCCATTCTAATATACTACTTATATTAAGTTTTCGTGATTTTATATGTCTATCAAAAACTGCATCAAGCTTTTCAATTGAAAGCCAATGTTGTGAAGAACACATAACTATAGATTTAATCGATCGTTCTTGTATAACAGATGAATGCAAGTGCCCAAAAAGAGCTATCCTATCATATTTGGCTAAAATTTTAGCTTTTTTCCAAACTTCTAATACACTTTCATCTTCATAATGAAATTCTAAACCCGTTTCTTTGTAAAAATCAAGAATAAATTTATTATTGATAATTTGCTGCTGTACTAAATACCTATCACTATTTTTTTCTTTTTTAGTAATTAAAGAAGAGACAAAACCATTAAACGTATTATCTCCTATATATGAAATTACTATTGAAATAGTATCAAGAGTAAGAAATATTGGAATAAAATAAACATCCTCTAATAATTGTGAAGTAATGTTAATTTAATCTAAACCAATTACAGCTGGTCCAGAAAATGTTGTTTTAGTTTTAAAGATCATATTGTATACAATAGTAATAGCAGTTGATAACGAAGTTTGTATACCACTACTACTATTCCCACTTGTGCAAATAAAACCAGGTTGTAAAATATTATCTTCACTTTGAACAACTGTTATAAAAAACTGTTGTTTGTTAAGAAGATACATAAAACACATATGTAATCGAAATGGTACTATAATTTGAGTATTTTCTTGAAAACGTATAGCCCACCAATTTCGTGCATATAGTCCATAGTGCAACTCATAAACTATAAACCCTACATCTAATAAAGTAACAAGATATTAATGCGCATTAGACATTTTATAGTGATAAAGTTTTTGAAAACCTGATTACTAATCTTTAATAAGTAACGCAAGTTTAAAAAAAAAAGCTCAAAATTTGAACTGTATTTATGTATAAAGTTGCAATTAAAACTAAAATTTATCTAACCCAAATTATCAATAAAAACATACGTACGTACGTATGAAAGATGCAAAAAAAAAAATTTTTTATAACATTTAGTTATTAGATTATTCTAGCAGAATAAAAATTCTAATTATATAAATATAAGAAATGCGAAATAATGTTTTAGTTTACATCTTATAACAATAATTATTATCCTTTCCATTGTTAAAATTTGTTAAATTATAGCAAATGTATACCCAGAGCAGATTTACTAATAGACTAAATTACAATGCTTGTGGGCGTTATTTTGAAATTGAGTTTTTCAAAAAATAGCACACATGTTCTTATATTCTCAAGTTAGTATGTATTTATAGCGCCTTAACTTAAATGCACACCCCATAACATATAATACAGTATTTGATTTATAAAATCAATATGCAAGTCGACTAACTAGCGTGCAAGTGGGCGTTATTTGACAGTAGATTATATATAATCCGGAAGCATATTTAGAAAAAGATCATTACACTTACGTAATTTATATTATTATAAGGGATTCCAACCTCTTATACGTACAAATACTACAACGTACAGTACTTATGAAATAAACCTAAAATTCGGTCTCCAAATCCAAGTGTTTGGTCTCCAAATCTACCAAACTACATAATAATCAATTACTACTAAATTAGAACCTCCTATTTATATCAACAATGCATCTAACCCATCTTACTACGTATCTAACTTATCTTGTCGCACCTCAATAGGCATTAAAATTTATATGTATATGATACACCCTAGCCTAGAAATATTCATATACATACTATATAAATTGTTGCATAGCAAACTCATGCTTAGATTATATATATTTTATATATTCTAGTATAGTTTTGCTATGCAACAACCTATATAGTAATAAATTTTCATCATAATAATCGATAATGCACAATCAAATTATATAAATAAATAATTTGAATAACAAAGAAATTAGTTAGATATGCAAAATTTAAATAAAAGAGATTTGAACAAGTAGCTGTCATGTGCCTATATGAAAACCAAAGAATTGGAAAATTCAAATTAGTAAAAATCAGGGTCTTAAAATCACAGAATCTGGAAAATATGGTAAGCTTACTATGATACCTGCATGTGCTCACATCTTTTTATATGCAGAATCCTATCTGTATAAAAGATATACATACTTATATACATACGTACGTATATACTGTATATATAGTGCAAAAATATAAGAATCTCAATCTCTCTATATAGAGATAATGTATAATCTGATTGCATATAAATTTTTTAGATTACCAATTTCAATAAAGTGAAGGATCTAAAATTTACAACCTCTTCAGCTTATCTTCAATTAGTTAATCTTCACTATATTTTCTGCATCATACATATAGTACTGTTACAGAGAAATATAACCTGGCCGCTGCACAATAATGCTATAAGACTTGGGACCTTAAATGCACATTGATCAATATAAGAAAGAATATTTAATAAATGCCAATTCAGGTATAGCTTGAGGTGAGGTTTTATTAAGAACAATAGTAAACGCCTAATAGTGGAAATATAGATTATAGTTGTGTAATTGAGAATGAATTACTTGTCAATTATTATAAATTCTTCCATACCTTAAATAGTTATATTGTTCACAAGATTCTAATCGTAATAGCAAAGCCTCATATAATCTATAATATATAAAAACCTATTGACTTCATATAATAAAAAGAAGACAAGAATTATAATTCATAAAGACTATCTAATTACCTCAAAGATTCTTGCGGCAATAAAACCCTTAGTTTTTAGTTTAAATCTTTCATGGATAATTCGATGCTGAGGAGGCTCAGATAGAATCGAATCTAACTAAAGTTAGTAAGGTGCATTAAGTGCAACTTATCGAACTTATAGCACTTAAAGTACTTATGCTACTTATAACACTTATCACCCTTAGTAGCCTCGGCGAATAAGTTCAGCTTGTACTGTAGTAATATAAAAAGTATAAAAGTGATTCTTTCCATACTGAAAATAAAAAATAACTTTCAACTCACGATTCAGAGTTCGGCATACAAGTGTTTGGCTCTACTAATTCTCTCCGATAACAGGAATTAGTGATCAAACCTCGTGATTCTATACTAAGAAGCCCGTGACGTAATCTAGAGCTCTAATTAACTTTAGTTACTCGGACCAAGCTTTTCATGTCTCGATCATAGCATTACCACCATTAGGATTCAATTAGAGTAGTTTAATTAGTATTTAGTGTTGTGTAGTAGTGTATATTGGTATTATCCAGATCCCAGAGTATTTTCTTCTTTCTCATATATAATTGCATCTATCCGTCTTTTTCCTATTATAACAGGTTTAACAAAGTTAAAGTAAGATTAAAATGAAGTTAATATAAAAAAAGATACCATTATTAAAAGAGTTTCTTTAATAAGCTGTTAAATAAAAAAACAATTTGTAAAATAAAATTAAAATATTAATAAGAAACAAGAAAAAATAGTCAAATAGTCCTATTTAAGAAAGTTAGTTGGTTAATTATAGTGTAATTATCTTTCTAACTAGTATAAATAAAAGAAAAAATTAATATTCTTTAAAATAGTAGATTTGTAATAAAAAAAATAAAGGTGGACTTGATAATTCGAAATTATAAATTTATATATATAAATAAACCCGTTATAAATTATTAATTAATGTAGATCATTTACTACCGATTTGTGACAGATCATCAATTAATTTAATTTTAAAGAAAAGATCCTGATTTTTAATTAAAATTAAGCAAAATTACCGTATATTCCCGAAAATAAGCTACCATTTTTGGAAGAAAAATTATACAAAAATATTAGGGTAGCTTATTTTTGGGTAAAAGCGAATTTTGTTGATTGCGAAAAAATTTACTAAGTAAATCGACATGGCTTATTAAGTGAAAGTTATTCAGGAGATCAAAATACACATATCCTGAAACTTTCATGTAAATCGGATAACTTTTTATT